ATGTCTAAGCACACTTACACCCACACCCTCAACGGAAGAATTCTAGTTTTCATTAAATAATACTTTTTCTTTTTTAGCCCGTGGCATGATTTTTCAACATCGTTGATTATCGCTATGAGATTAATATTTGTTGATAATTGGAATTTAATTGGACCTGAACTTGAAAAACATGGTAGTCCAACAATATCACGATGGTTTTTAGTAATTATAGTTTTTATTGGTAATCGTATTGTTACTAATGTACTTGTTGGAATAATGATTGAAAGTGTATCATCTGTAAATGATGATTATATGAAAGAAAAACGCGAAAAAAAAATTTTACGTAATCAACAAAAACGTGAAGAGTTAAACAGACGTAGATATATATATTTATTAAATAGATATCTTTTTTAAATATGAATTTTGATTAGGTACAATCCAAGTATTGAATACACGTTTTTCAGATACAACTAATAAAATAAATACAACAGAGAATACAATAGAACAAATTAAAGCAAAAGTAAAATTAATTCATAATGAAATCATTAGACCAAAAGATTTTATATTTTCTGTTGATTGGTTAGAAAAATTAATTGCATGCAGGTAATACATACAATAATACTAGAAGACAAAACTCCGGTAAAATAAATAAATAGAAAATTTTAATAAGATTAACAGAAATAGTGTACTATGATCACTTAAGAAATTCATTCGTCTCCCCTACCCAAGTGGACAAGAATTTGGAGAAACGCGCTTAAACGCTCAATCGGGAACCGCGATTGTATCTCATTCACGCTCGGAAAAAAAACGCCCTTTTATCGGTTTTTTTCATATAATTTTTAAACATGAAAGCGACAAAAAAGCCAGCTTTTTTAGCGTTAAAATGCACTGCTTTCATATTGCAGAAAACTACAGAAGTAAAAGCACGTTTTAACGCTGAAAACCTGAATTTTTTTGTCGCTGTCACGTTCAAAAATTATATGAAAAAAACCGATAAAACGGCGTTTTTTTTCGAGCTTGAATGAGATACAATCGCGGTTCCCGATTGAGTGTTTAAACGCGTTTCTCCAAATTCTTGTCTGCTTGGGTAGTAATTAAATGGTTTTTGATTCGATTTCTCGAATTATTTCATCTTTCGAATCATATATATTATAGACAAATCCGTACTTGGCTTAACAGTGTCTTTAACAAAACATGGGTTCTGTGTTCATTTGATCTAACAGAAAGACTTGCTATTCATCGCTAAAAAAAGGCATGATAACCTTTTGTTCATGAGAGCGCTAGATGGATTTCTTAAGTGATTTTGACTTTGGGGACATTCTGTACTATATTGGAGATATCATCTGAACTCACAATCATGATATTTCTCTCACGAGATGTACCATACAATCCTCTAACTATTGTTAGTTCTTGCAGAAGGATGCACAATAATCATTTAATAATGAATGCAGGAGGAATAATTAATTATTTAAAAACATGTTCTTTGTGTCTTCTATACTATCTTTTGAATTAAAAAGAATGAACATAAATTATATTTTCTATTGTGTCATTATAAAATATTTATAATTCCTATTCCTCAATTAAAATACAATACTACTTCTAAATAATGTTCTTAATATTATACGATTACTTTCAAACGATATTACATAATATGTTGTTCAATAATTTTTTAGTGAAAAATCTCATATTGAAGCTAAATCAGTTCGTCATCTATTCATTCATATTATTCAATCATTATCTGATATTATTGATGAAAATGATAGTTCAATAAAACAACATCATATTTAAATAAATTATTAGACTAATTAATGAAGAAGAAAAAGAAAACGCAAAAAAGAGAAAAATTCAATATTGACAAAAAGACAAACAATAAATTATCACAACAAGCATATTCATTTTTCTAATAAAGTATGCCATCTTGTTATTGTTTCACCATGTGCACTAAGCATTGCTTCCCAATGTGAAATTTGGGTAGGACTAGAAGCTTCATGACCTAAATTTTAAAAGAATATGATTTAAATAATTCATAACGATAAATTCTTACCAAATGAAATATATCCGAAATCATGGTCAACTATACTTAGACATTTTTTATTAATAACAGAAATAACAAATGTAATTTGTTCAAGAAAATTTCCTTGAATATTAAATGGATAACGTTCAGCATATATTGGATGATATTGTGCATGTCGTGTAACTGTTTGATTTGTTGTAATTTCTTCACCAGTTGAATTACGAAGTATTATTTGAACACATGTATCTTGGAAAAAAAAAGAAATAGAATAATTATAAGAAATAAAATAATATTCTACCAGGAGGATGAGTTAATGTTGATAGACCAAAATTAATTCCTTTTCCTATTTCCAGTATAAGCATTGAATGAGTTCTATCATAAGCTAAACCAATTTCAAGTTCTGGTAAAAGAGAATTTACACTTCCTTCGCCACATGTACGAAAAACTGAACTGTTCGGTGATGGACAAGTACCACTTGCGTTACTACGACTACCTATATCAGAATCTTGTGATGGCTAAAATATAAATATTCTTATTCGTAATATAATATATATATATATATGATTATACTAACATAAGCTCGTTTTAATGGAATAATTTTACACATATCTTCATCGAGATTAACCATAGCAAACATAACTGTTGCTTCGGCAAGAAGTTTTTCACGTCTAAAACGTTCATATGTATATAAACGAAAACGAATACCTTGTGTTTGAATTGTTTCTAATATGTAAGAAAAAAAAATAAAGATGACTTTTTATAGAAATCAAAGAAAACAAACCAGGTGATACTTTGCAAAAAAATTCTTCTGCAAACATAGCATTATTAATTGGTTTAATACGTGTACGAAGACGAGTACGTTTATTGGGTAAAAGTGTTAAATGTACCTGAACAAGCGTTTGTTTTAAGGTATCTTGAGTCATTTCTAATGTTGCTTTTATGACAAACACCCACATTCTACTATTTTTAGCATCATATTTTAATCGTACTTCAAGTGTACCCCATGATAAACTATCAATCGAACCATTTGTTAATAATAAAGAATCATTCAAAGCAGATTTAGCATTCTAGAAAAATAAAATTCATAGAAATATACTATTGCATACCATCAGAAGATAATATTGAGTATCTAATATGATATATAAAGGTGAAAAAAACGTCTATGAGAATATTTATTTGAAAGTACTAGAATAGAAAGTTATTTTAAAATTTCATGCCTGACTTTTTTCACATATGATTTTACTTTGAAGCAAAATAGTAGTATGAAAATTTTCTTTATAAAACATCTGACAAATATAATTACGTATGTAGTATAAGGATAAACTATTGTTTTTTCGTAAAGTGGGAAAATAATAAAAATTTAATGAATCAAATGCAACATCAATTCTATATAGTTTTCCTTGAAAATAATCTATTAAGTCTATTTTTTACTTAATAATAATAATTATCTCATTTCATATTTTTTAATTCTATAGAGGTTCCTTTGACAGCTTTTTTATTTATTATAGTTCGAGAAATTCAATTATTAATTAGTAGAATATTTAATAATGTAAATATCTAAACTGCACGTTCCACTTCACGCTTATAACTGACCTCTTATTTGTATTAATTAAAGATGATAGATACTTAACTTTAAAGACTATTGAAATAGTTTAATGAGATCTTATTATTATTAGAAAACGAGAGTAATATTTAACATACATTATCAGGTGTATCCGTAGATGTTGGAGTATGACTAGATCGTTGTTTACCATGATGATATAGAGCAGGTGATGGTGGAGCTGATCGTGTTTGTTCATTAGTATCATGTTCAATTGTTGAACTTCGTCTTGAAACACCAGTTATAATTGTTTTTTGTTGATTAGTATTAATTTTTTTAGTTGATACTTTATCTACAAATTGATATAAGATTACATTCAATTTCTTTTTAAATAGTTACTATTTGTTGACATTGAATCGTTTTCTTTATTTTCAATAATAATTGGTATTTGTGATGATTTTCGATTATTAATTCTCGGATCTTTTGGTTGTGGCATTAATGTTCTGTAATCGTCATCTGGTAAGTCTGTTCCTGCTAAAAATATATAAAAATTATTAGCATGATATCTCAAGCATAGAATCTACAACATCATCATCCTTAGCAACACTAATTATAGTCAAAGATAACCCTCGAAAGCTTAAAATCAGTTGTCATTCATAATCCACCTCTATGACAGATGTATAAAAAAAGAAAATAATCAACAAATAAATTAACCTAGAATAATAATTATATCTTTTATTAGAGTCAAAACAAGGAAGTAAATCGTTAACATTGTTATTCTCAAATTATCATATCTCAATCAGTAAATTATCGCTAGTTTCTAAGAATGAATGGGAACAAAAAAAACATTTCTATGATGTACTGACCAAAAATGAAAGTTAATTTCCCTAAAGAATTTCAAATGTCTATTTACTTATTCCTTACAGTATATAAACGAACACAAAATATATAAAAATCATTCATGTCAATCTTACAGAAAAAAGGATAATAACACATGTTGATTGGCAATAATAACCAAAGATAAACGTTGCAAATTTTTATTTTGCTACTCAGTTCAATATAATATATATATATATATATCTATAATACAGATGTATGTTAAAGAAATTCTTCTTTTCTCTCTCATAATTACTTACATTGTATGTTTTATAAGATAAAATCGATAATAAAAAAAAAATTAATTTTCTATATAACTAAATCTAAAAATTAATAGAGGAAATATATTGTTAAAATAATGAAAAAATTTACTCAAGCAAAGAAATAAATAAATATAGGTTGTTTTCTTTTGAATATTAATCAAACAAAAAAAACAATTACATTTTACTCATTTGGAATATGAAACATAAAAGAGAAGTTCACACAAGCATTAAACATCAGAAAAAAAAGAGAGGAAGAATGTGTAGAGTAAGTGACGAGTGAGAGAGAGAGAGAGGGAAAAAAAGAAATTGACTTAAGTGTACCATATCTCAAAGTTATTTATGAATTAGATATAGGAAATGAGAGAAAGAGAGAAAAACAAAGGCAACTATACCTATAGGCGTTTTTTCTTCTTCTTCTTCTTCTTCTTTATCATTCTTCACTCATCACTATTAAAGAGAAAAATGAGAACAGGAAAACAGAAAACTCACAATTTAGACTGAACTAAGAAAGACGAGAGAGAGAGTAGACAAGTCATGATAAATATTATCAAAGAACAAGGCGTGTAATAAATGAAAAAGAAACCAAAAAAAAAGAAAGAGATCTAACTAAAATTTGTTTGCTATAATGTCATAATCATTTATAATAAAAAAAACAACAGAATCATATCATTGACAATAATTTTACTAAATTAAATAAATGAATGTTGACTGAATCTATTAACAATAGAATATCTTATTGCATGATAAAAATTAACTAAGATTACATTTCAAGTAGAAAGTTTCTATTTCATAAAATGTAATCAATCAAATTCCTGTAGTTTATATAAATTAAAGACGATAGTTGATAAGGTATTAAGAATACAAAAAAAAACGTTTTTTTGACATTGAAATAGTGAGTCCACATCAGAAACAGTCATAGATATCTTAAAATAATATATATGACAGGTTTACTATTAAGTAATAAATCCGGTAGGCATAATCAAATATAAATATTAACTTTGTTGTAAAACTTATTGTTAGTTTATCATATAATGTTATAAATATATTTTTCTACTTCCTTCGTTCTATGATAAGACAAAGAATTATTGTACATCGCTTAAGTGATAAAATTTCTTGCTTTTAGAGGTTTAATCTTTTGTACTTAAGAACATTGTTGTAAAGATGAACTGTCATATACACACTCTCAACATAGGATCATCATTAATAGTTTGCCTTTAAAACAATAACCTCTTCATTCTAGTATATAATAAAACATAGTTATTCTAATTTGTCACCATAAACTCATAAATAATGCATGATAACAAGCTTTTTAAAATATAAAACTTTATGCAATAGTTTAACATTAATATACTCAATTGAATTCAGCTTACACATACACCTAGCTATGTTTATTGTTATTATTTTAAAATCCAGGTTTTTGCTAAATTTCTAGATTGGAACATACAAATTAGTTGTTTTTTTTGTATATTTCAGGTATAGATGATACTGTTAAATCATGTATAAAAAATATGATGAAGAAATATAATAACTTAATGGAAGTAGAAACATGACTACATATTCATTACTATTATTATTAACACGGAGTAATCAAATGTATTTTCAAGTTGAATGACAACTAGCACACATTGCTTACAAATGAAAATATAAAAATAGAGTATATTATATCGGTCATGTCAACATTCGTCTAATCATAAAAAAAGATAGAATTGAATTTATGAAGTATTTAAGTTTGTGTTGACTACATTTTTTTCTTTATTTATATCATAATACACAAAAAATAAGGAAAATCATTCACTACATTTTAGGTAATAAACCAGTTTTAGCAATTTGTTCACGTAATGATCGAATTTGCATACTTTGTGCTGGTGGTAATTGAGCTAATTGAGCATCATCTAATTGTAATAGAAGTAATGCAGCATTCTCGTCAAGATTTGGTGTGCGTATTGGTGGTGCTAAAGGATTTAATTGAGGTGGAAATGATGGTTGAACAGGTGGAAATGGTGTAGCATGAGACATAGGTGGTGGTATTAATGTACCAGGAAACATTCCAGCACCTGAAAGGAGAGCTGCTTGAAAAAGAGCAGCAGCTGCAGCTTGTTGTGCACTAGCAGCATTAGGAGCCATCATAGGCATTGAAAATGGTGCACCTGGAATAACTGAAAAAGGGAATGGTGCATTTGGATTGCCTGAAACTGGAAGAGGAAGTGGAGCAGTAACTGCTGCTGTTGATTGTGTAGTAGTTGATGTTTGTTTTTTAACATCAGCAGGAGCTGGTATAACATCTTTATCAGTACGATTTAATAATGCCATAGCTACTTGAGGATCAACTATTCTCATTACAACTTGTGCCTGTAACAGAGCATAAGCTAATTGAGGATTTGTTGATAGAAGTGTTTTAGCTTCGTTTGGATTTGCTTCAATACATTGTTTCATCTGTTTCATTAATTCAAACATCTATTTTAAACAGAACACAGAAAAAAAGAATTATAATTAAAAATTATTTTAATAACTAACTTGAGCTGGTGGTAATGATGCAACAGCATTTGAAATCGATTCACGTTCTTCTTTATTACCGGTACTAGTCACATTTGAATTTACTGATTCCATCGCTGCTAATGCTGTTGTTGCTGCTTGGGATTGCGATATTTGTGATGTTGTTGCATTAGCAAGACGAGGATCATTCTTATTTGATGATGTCACAGTAGTTGTCGTTGTAGCACATAATTGTTCAAATAAATTTATAATTGGTTCAGCTTGATTAGAAAGTAAATCAACAACAAGTCGAAAACCACCTAGATCAAGACCATTCAATTTATTAATAACTGTTTGTGCAATTTCATTCGATGCAAACTAAAAAGACAAATATCAATAATTTATCTCTAGACATAAATTCTTCCAGTACTCAAGTTTATTATAATTCACATCTTTCCCTATAGAAATGCGATCAAGACGACGGCAATGTCAGTACTTAAAAAGACTAATATCCGTTTTTATTTCAAAATAGTTGTTATTGTCTCTTAATATAAATCAGCAGTAGAGTCTGTCGCGTTCAGAGACTTTAGTCTTAGATTCTTTTCTTTACTTAACTATATCAGTGATCAAACAGTTTCAATGCTAATCGTATAATTACTTGACATTTACTATTTGTTCAAAATCGCTCAATACAAAACTGAATATCTCTCTAGCATTGATAAAAAAAACATCAGCTCGAGTCGTAGGAGAGATCCTCAAATTCTTTCTTTTCTATTAAATGACTTCCCGGACACTCAGTACATCTCCTATTTTCAGAAAACTATACTTGCACTTTCTCCTGTCGTCTTCTTTTTTTAATTTATCATATTTTTACTTACTTCTGCAAAAGCATAACCTCTTGATGTTTGTAAATTTTGTTCATTTGCATTATTAGTTCCACTGGGATCAAGAAACATATGAAAATGAATTAGAACTCCAAATTGACTTAACATTTGTCGAAAAAGATCTTCTGTTATACCGGCTGGTATATTTTGTACAAATATAGAACGTATATAACGTTCAATATGTGCTGATGGCATTTTTTTTCTAGAAAAACGAAACAATATTTTTTTTAATTGTCTTTATTTTCGCAGTAATCATATATTTTTTTATGAATTTTACGCATTATTAAAATTCTTAATGAATAAAAAAAAGAGTTAAAAAAAAACATAGGTTAGAATCTTGATTAGCAGCCTTTTTTTTTAATGATTAATATAAACACAGTTTTAACGTGCAAAATCCCAACGCGAATGATCTTTATCATCATTATTTTCATCAGTGGACGGTTTTGGCCACCATGATGCCGATGAATTTGGTTGTGTAATTGAATCCCAAAACTAAAATAAATTCATTTTATTAACGAATTCGTTTTTTTTAGGAAAATAAATATACTAACTTGATTATTAACTTCATTTTCTGGTTTATTTGTTGTTTGATTATCGATTGATGATGATTCCGATACAGGTAAAAATTTTGTCCAAGTATTATTTATTGGTTTGGTTGGTTCAATTGATGAAGCACTTGCAGATGAAAACATTTCAGTCCATTCTGAACCAGGTTGTGTACGTGTACTTAATGGTGTTGAACGTGGTGTTGCTGTTCCTAATGCAGTTGGCCAAACAGCTGAATCTTCTTTTGAACTTTGTTGTTGTGGTGCAAATGGATTCTGTATTTGTGTTGTTAAAGGAATATTTGGACTTGGCATATTAGCCATTGGCCATGTTGAATCATATTTCGATGGCCATTCTGTTGGTGAAAATGGTGTCCAAGGAACATTTGGTGTTGGAATGTCATTAATTAATGGTGAAGTTGTTGAATTGGAAACATTAGTTGTTGATGGTACTGTTGTAATACTATTTTGATGATCAAGAAGATGATTGATTTGAACAAGTACGTCCGGTGTATCCGGTGATTCAATAGTATCACTAAAAAACATTGAAGCTTGTGTAACAGGTTGACATGACAATTTATTAGGTCGTTGAATTGGACCAGGTGAATGATGAGATGGAAATGGTAATGGTTCAATACTATAAAAAATAATTATATATTTAATTTCTATAGAACAAGAAACAAGTCTAAATTGATCGTAATTTCAAGATTAACAATTTTGTTTACAAGAATAGTATGACTTCCTTTTTTTTCCCGTCGATTATAATTATGAAGGAAAGACAAAAAAAATATTTTTTTCGACTCCTTTTATATTCCAACTTGACTTGGAATTAAAAAAAAAGGAACTCAATAGTTGGAAATATTTTTCTTATCATACAAATTTTACTAGACATTTATATTTAATTTCATACTTTTCTTTTATGACAGATGTAGGTGTCGTTGACTTTTGTTGTGTTGTATTTGTCGTCATTGTTGGTGGTGTTATTGATAGTGACATCAATGATGGAATATTAATAGGTGTTGTTTTTTGTTGTGTTTGTATTCGTTCATCAGTATCATTTGAATCATTCATAGAATTTGCATTTTGTAAAGCATATCGACCAAAATCTGAAATAGATAAGAAATTATAAAAAATTTCAATCGATAATTTGCACTCACTCGAAGGTGGAGTATGTGTTAATTCAAGCATATTAAATATTATTATTTTTAATTAAATTTATATGTTTAAAATTTATTAAATAGCAGACAATTAAATTAAAATGATTTATTAAACTGTGTCACGTTCTTTTGGATGTTCTCGATTTATTCTCAAAAAAACCTTACCTTTTATACTCCGATATTGAGTAATGACACAAAAAACAGAACGCGTAAAAAAAATAATAAGAACATGTATGTGTACCAATCAACACAGTCGTTTCTTTTTTTTTTTGAATATATGCCAAGACAGAACGAAAAAAAAATCAATTCATTCTTCGCATACATAGACTATGATTTATGTTTTACCTGGAAAATGAAACTTAATGTATACCTATATAATTATACGCACATGTAATTTTAAGTTTTGATGTATTTTAGCCAGCAAAGCAAGCAATATTAATAAAATAGTAGATATTCAAGCAGCTATTGTTACCATCATCCGGTGCATCTGGTTCATCCCAATCGATATCATCATCACCACCATCACGTTCTGATGGTGGTGCTGATGAACAACGCGAACGTATAGACATCGAACATGCATTTGTTGATGATGGTAAACCAGCTGCCCATAATTGTTCTGTCAATTGACGAAATGCTATTTCTCGATTTGGACTATATAATGGTGTATCATCCTGTAAACTTTTTCTTTTTACTAAATTAGAAACGGGTGCAGGCGATTGTTTACGAGCGCCACGACGACGAGAATGTGTTGATTTAGTAGGAATTGGATTAATTATATTGCTCATTAATGATGGTATTGTTTGCTTGTCTATAAAATAATTCAACATGAAACAAAGTCATATATATAGACAAAAAAAAATGCACTTACCTGAATTAGTTGATGATACTTTACTTGTTTTATTAGTTATATGAGATTCATCATGTGTTTCTCGTCGAGCGGAAGTCGTTCCTTTACGTTGTCCTTTATTCGAACTAACCATACTCCATTGTTGATCATCTAAAGAATCATCTGATTTTAACGGATTAGTTTGTTCAGAATAAATAGAAGATTTTCGTTTAATAACAGTATTATTATTATCAGCATTTGATTTTGGAGTTATATTAGTTGATGATTCTTTTGCTTTGCTTGAAATACGTCTTTGTCGAGGAACCTATAATAAATAAAATATATTTTAATTAATATGATGAAGATTTTTGTTTTGAACATACTACAAATGGTTCAATTTCATCATCAGTTACAACTGTTGATGATGAAACAGTTTTAGATGGAACTGGAGGTGTTGTATGTTGATCTGATTTTTGTCTTTGTAATGACTGAGTTTTTCCTAACGGTTCATGGTGAGTTTTTATAGACTAAAAAGGATTTTATTTCTCTATTAATTATCATTATAATAAAACTAACTTTTGTTGAACCACTCTCTGTTGTTGTTGCACGTCGTGCTTTATTTGATCCTGATTTTGTTGAAGATGTCGATCCAATTGGAGTTCGTACTTTCGATGATGGTTCTCTATTTTCGCTAACTGGCGTAGTCGAACGTTTAGATTTAAGTTCATTCTTTGATGTTGTTTCTTTTTTTGCATCTGTTGATGAAAGTGATTCAATTCGTTCGCTAATAAAAAAATCAATTTTATTCATTTTTTGTTTATTCTATAAAATAGTTTACCGAATTTTTTCTTCATCTTGAACGGCTAATGATAAATCACTAAGATCGAACATTTTACTGTCTGTTGCTTGAATTTGTACACGCCATTTGTATCGATTTAAATACTAATAAAACACAAAAAAACAAAGTCGAAAAAATAATAATTCAGATAATATTGAATTACATCATCATATATTCTTCGTGCATCATATCCAGCTGTAAAAAAAATTAGAATAGTAAGAAAAATTAATGAACATAAACATAAACAATATGTTCGAAATTCCCATCGTGGACGTGGAACTATATTGTAACATGTTGATAAAACACGTTGTGGAATACGAACAATAATTGGAAATGATATAAGACCGATATTTGTATTTAATGTTAATGTTCGATTAACTTCAACTAATGTATAATCAGGTTGAAATCTTTCGAAAAAAGAAAAATATATTTTATAAAATCAAAAAAGAGTTGTTGTTTTTTTTCTATTTCTTACAAAATTTGTAGATTATATTTTTCGTTAGATTCTATTTCAATATTTGTACAATAAGGAGCTGAAAAACCATGACCGGAACACTTCATTTGATCAAATGAGATGTCATAAATGATTGTTTTCATATTTCCTGTATTTGTAAGCGTTATAAGTTTTCTAAGTAAAGGATTCGATTGAATATCTAGTAGAGAAAAAATATAGTTTTGAAGAATGAATTAATTTTGTATATTTACTTAAACAAAGTTTATATTGTTTTTCATCTATTGATATAATAATTGGACTCATAGATGAAGTAGCTTTACGATGTCCAACACGTAAACTGCCAATACCACCTTCACCGCGTACAAGTATGGATTCAATAATTGTTAAATTATTTCTAAATAAAAATAATTTAGATTTTATTTTCAATTAATTCTATCATACCGGATAATAAAATACATTTCATGTTTAATCATTTGCGTCGGCCGATAAGATACAGTAAATGTTATTTGTTCAGCTGGTCGAAGTTGAAAATGATAAGTACCACTTATTAAATCTACTCGTTTTGATGTCTAGAAAAATAATAAAAATATTTCATAAGATTATTTTAAATACATACTGTTGAAATTGTAAAAATTTGATCGTTGATAATTGATTTGAAATTATCCGAATCAGCTTTATGAAGTTCAACAGAATATGTAACAAGATTTAAGGAAGGATTTGTTATGATGATATTTTGTGTCTACATGAAAATAGAAATGATCATTTCAAAGTTATATTAATAATTTACTTTAGTTATGTTGATAAATATAACTTGAAAATCTAGGATAAGCGGCGCACGAGAATATGATGAAAACATATGATCAAGTACAGATGGCCAAACAAAATCAATAGTTAATGGTGTTGATATATTCGCTCGATCAGTATAAATCCAAATATTTGTCTGAATTCTTTATGAAATAAATAAACAATAAATTAATAAAAACAAAGGTTCTTGTTTTTCTTCTTACCGCTGTTTTCGAACAAGAGACGTCCATTCTTTCCAAAGATTTCGAAATTTAATTATAAGACTATGATCAAGTTCATATGTATTCAATGCTGAAACACATTCATCCCATCTTTGTTTAAATGACGGATGATGATGTAGACCACAATAACAAGTTGCTTCAGATGGAGGTTCTTCACATAATGGAGCCATATTGAAACGAAGTTTACCAAGCTAAAATATATCATAGAATTCTGTTTTACATCATCGACTACTTAAAATTTTATGGACAACATGATTTACTCACAGGTAAACATTTCTAAAGCTTTGAATATCGACTTTTACCTCCCTCGTTTTACATACAAAAGTTGGATTTTCCTCTTAAGCACGCTATACCTGAAGCTATTAGTTAAATATCTAGATTAATAGAAATAGATGGTTTAGCAACAATAGAATTTCCTGTTTAGTTCAAGCAAAAATGGTTCCTATATATAAACAGTCTGGAAGCCAAAAATAGACGCAACTATTCTCATTATTTTCAATTGCGTATACAAATCATAGTATTAGATCTATTCCCTGCATGTGTTATCTAAAGAATTATACATACTTCTTGTATTTTATTTGGTTGAAGTTTAACATTACCCATTGGCGAATCATTCCAAGTAAATGCAAAACATGTTCCATATGTTATAAAATCCATTCGGAATACATTGACTGGTACATTAAATTTATTATGTGTAAATATATCTAATGTCTCTATACGATTCTAAGAAAAAATAAAAATAAAAATTTCGAATACATTGTAAATTAATTATTTCATACAGGAAATGCATCAATATGTAACGATGTTTTATTAGTTAATTCGATTGATCCATCAACAATTTCATATTGTATATTTATACGAAGTATCTAATACAAAAGAATGAATAAATAAATCAATAAATAAAATTATATTACTTGATAACGTGTTTTAAAAGTAATTGTTTCATTATGAAATTTTGGTTGATCTGCTCCGTTAATTGTCAATGAAAAAACTGCAAGATGTTGATCAGGAAGAATAAACTTGAAATAAATATATATATTATTTCTTATTTATATTATTTATCTTTAGTCTTACTTGAGAAATATTCTCATTTTTATAAAGATTTATTGATTTTATTTTCGTTCCATTACCATCTATTAATTGCATATAATCAAGTTGAATATCAGTATTGGGTAGAGTGAAATGAAAATTTTCAATAGCAATATCAATTGGATTTGGATTTGTTAATGTAAATGTTACTGTACGTGATACATTTATTGGTATACTAGCTAGATAGAATTCAAATGGATTTGTTTCATTAATTCGTATACCATCACTTGTAATATCACTTAAAACATCAACCTAAATAAATATAATAATTCATTATTTTCAAAATTCCAATTTTAGGAAGAAAAAACGGATTCCTGTAACAACGTCCAACAGAAAGATAAAACTCGAAAGCATAAAATGATGATGATGAGTGAGTGGAAAAGATTTCTCTTTTCGTAAACTTCCACTCTAGACATTTTTATCTGTCAATGTTCGTATACTTTTTATTTTCGATGTTTTTATCTTTCGACGTTACTAAGGGGAACCGAAAAAGCGAGCTCTAGAAGGCAATAAAATTTATTCCAATCTAACGACATTTAGGCTAAAAAGATGAGCATATTCATGAGCGATGATCATACTATTACAAAATTTTTTGAAATGAGGATTGTCCTAGAAAGAGGGTGTGCATCAAAAGGTGATAGACGCCCACACCCACACCCTTAAGACACATCAATCTTAATTTTATCTCAATAAAAATCAATATTACATTGTCGTAGATAATCGTAAAATTCAAAAATACTTACGGTAAGAAATCCATTGTATAAAAAAACTACAAAATGAAAAGTAGATAAATTCGAATGAATATCGAGTGTTGCTTGAATATTAGTAGACAGTACATTTGATAATGATGGTTCTTTAACAGTTACACATACTAATTGTTTCCATTGATTAGGATATAAATAAAGTAAAGATGATGGATATGTAATCTATAGAAAAATGAATATATATAAATTCGTCTATAGAAATATTTTATATATTTTTTACGTTGATATATGATGAGAGAATTTCTTGATCAACTGTTGTTATATTATATATAGCTATTGGCATATTATATCGATTAACAAATGAAATTGGTGTACATTCTTCATTGTTAAATTCATTATTTGATGATGAAATATAAATATAAGTATTATCTTTATCATAATCAAGTGAACCATGTATAACTGTTTCATCAAATGGAATTTCAATGGCAAGTTTTTCATTAGTGGATAGTATATATACTTGAACATAACCATGTATTCGCTTAACAGAAGTAGGAATCAATACTGGATGAATAGTTAGTTCAGCTATTTGATTTAAACGATGAACTCCAGGTGGTATTGGTAGAGTTTTGTATTGAATAGTAATATATTTCCTATGTTTTTCCTCCACACGTACATCCTAAAAGAAGATAGAATACAGTCAACAATCAATCTTAATGTAATCGATCTCAAGCATTGCATTTAACAAGTTTACAAATTTAATAGTAGAATCAGTGTACTCTATGTTTTATCTAGAGGGCAGGCGGCGCCCACCCGAAAACAGAAACCTGGATAGAACACTGAGCGTACTAGATCGATCGTATGGGGAAATCATTTATACCATCGACTCTATCTAGTAAGTCTTGATAACCTTCAAAATCTGTTTTTATTTTTAAGAACGTGAAAACATATTCGTTTAATTTTTTTTTCGTGCTCAATCATATCTATGATTAACTATCTTTTAAGATTGGTTTTATCGATTAATATAATATAGATTAATCATGATATATGTCAAGTCAAAAGCATCCTTAAAATGTCACGATAATGTGATCAACGGCTGCTCGTAAAGCGATAAGATATATAGCTTTTTTTTCAATATTTATCCTAACTTCAATAACAGCATTACAACTCGACAATATTTAATTTAATAGATTCTGTTAAAAATTACTTCTATGTATATTAGAAATCTTAATGTTAATGAATCAACAAGACTAAATAAATTTTTCTACGAACTGTACTGATACTGTCCACAATGGTTTTTTTTCTTTATCCTTCAAAAATATAATCTTACAGTAAGCATCACTGGATCTAAATTGTTATTGAATACATAAAGTGGTATTGATATTGGTGCTGCTATTGAACGTATAAATTTTTCAGTAGAAAATTCTAATACATCAACATTTGAATAAAGACCTGGATAATTTAAAACATTAATTTCTATTGGTAAAATAATTAATTCAGTAAAATTTGTTTTAATACAAATAAATCCATGTAAACGATGTAGTTTATATGCAAAATAATTTATTTTTATAATAGATTTCATTTCATATGCTTTTAAATGCCATTGTTCATGATGTTCGAAAACTTTTGTTATTTTATTTTTTATATTTTTATTTAATAATAAATCAATTCGTAAATTTTCATCACTTGTATAGATTTCATTGATATCTAATGAATAATTATATGGATTATGAAATTGTATTGTATATTCATATGTTGAATTTAATGGAATTTCAATATTAATTAATGGACGTAAACGAAATGGATTTGTTTTACTTCGACCAATAACCTTTAAATAATTCAAAATTTGAATTTAAAGAAAATAAAAATATTTATTTACATTATAATCAATATTTCCACGATTTGTATTTATTGTAAATATAGTTTTGATATTACCGATTGTTCTTGGTAGATAATAAATATTTATTGATATATTTTCACCATGGGATAGAACAAGATTTCCTTTTGGAAGTGTTGAATAAAATTGATTTGTTGCTTCAGATAATGAATAGAGTTCAAGTGGTTCAGGATCCTGATTAATTATTATCACAGTTTGCATTCGAGGAATAGCGATTGATCTAATGTGTAGAAAAGAAATAGTTTTTTTGTATATTTCAATTGATAAAAGACGTACTGTTGAGAAAAATTTAGATATGGAGGAATAAATCGAACTGATGATATTGAAGAAGAACTTTCAAAAGATCTATCATAATCTATTGATTGATTAATTTTTATCACATTATCATAAGATTTTAATAAATTCATAAGAAGTTCTTTTTCTTCAGCATCGTTTTCTTCCATATGCTTTAAAAAATAAAATAAAAATACTTTTTTCAATTATAAATAAAAAAAAACGTTTTACCGTTGTATAAGGAGAGGAAAATTTATCAGTATGGATAGAATTCATTGATAAATGAGGGAATACTAATAAAAATATATTTATATAATTTATTTAAATTCAACAAAAAGAAATTCTATTAACCTTCATTATCGTTCAAATCATCACTAAATGCACTAATTATCATTAAAAATGCTGTACATATGTATAGTAAAAAAAGATAACGTAAAAAATAATAACTATCATTTGAAGGTTGTCGATGCATTGAAGTAAATATTGGAAACATTATATATTAAGAAATAAAGCTAAAACAAATTAGTAAAATAAATGATATATTATCTATAATACAAATATAAAAGTAACTGAGGTAATTCCCATGTAATATATATATATATAGGTTTTACTATTATTAGGTAAGCCAAAATATCATATGAGAAGGAAGAGTATTGAAGCGTAACAGTGTATAACACATGTTTGTACACGTTGATATGCTCTGTTCTTTCGTAAACGTACATTAAGGAAAACTTTTCGTTTAATTTAGATTGGACTATAAAAAACAACCAATTATTTATAAAAGTTTGACAGATAGTATAATGAGGGCGCTAGGTTCTCAACATTTTAAATCATCCTATCAAGAACAAAAAGAAAGAAATTTTGTCGTTATACAGATTGTATTAATAATATATATATAAAAGAAAAAAAATTGACTTGATTTAAATTTTTACTTTCAAACTAACGTTAACAAAGAGTCTCCATTGTAATTATATGTTGAATACTGATCTAAAGAAAAAAGATTGAAAACTTCTATTTGATTTTTGATGATCATCAGATGTAATACGATTATTTTGATACATTTTTTCTTTATAATAAGAACGTGTATAGGAAACGGAAAGCATTTTAAAACATATATAATAATAGATCTCATCTATGATAAATTATTTTAATTGCTACGAAATATAATCTGATCAAATCTCTTAGCCATAATTAAAAAAATAAATGAAGACATTCAACATTTAGAAACTACAACGAAAGGATAAATCGAGATTTCATTTCGCTTTTCACATTTTGCAAAGCATCATTGATAAAGATAAATGAGGGATGGGCCATATTTTTCAACCAAGAGAAACCCGTTACTCCCACAAATTCAAGGGAAATTCCTTTTTCAACCAAACTGGCAACAATTTAAAAAGGAATAGTTCATCCATATTTTCATTGATAAGGAGAAATAAATAAGTTTCAGTATGAAATGGAAGTTGAAAAAAAGGATTTCTTTTTGTACGAAATATCCGCATGGTATCGAATAAGGTATTAAATAGATATCGTTTTCGATTTGTTTTCATTTCTCATCCAAGTTAAAGAATTTCCCGATCAGCTTCTCCGATAGTTCACTGCTGATATAAAACGAACAGCAAGTGTGATTGTATCAGTTATTTTTACAATGTATTAGAAAAAGTAACACTAACAATGTTACTCTTTTTTTATTACTATTAATTAATTGATTTATATAATAAATAATCGACACATATGTTTATATTTCAGCCTACGAGGTTCTTGTTGATATCTTTTGATATTACGAATACCGATAATGGAAAAAAGAATGATGTAAATGTATGTTACTTAGTATATAAATCTTATATTAACTAGTAATTATTAAGTTATTTTTCTCTTCATCAAATATAAAAACTTATTTTTGATAACTAAACTTGCTTATACATTCATAAGCATAAAGAAAAATAAGTAATACAAATTGATGAAGTTGTATAAAAGTTTATCTAACCTAGAAAATCAGAATCAAAACAAAAAAAAATTGAAAAACAACCAAACAAATGTATTAATAGCTTCTGTTATTTCTTTATTGTCATAACTATTAATATTTCGTCCTTCAACTGGTAGACGGTAATAACATAGGAATGGTATAAACTTACTTGTTTTTGTTTTTTAAACTTAATACGATGATTAATCCAATGTAAAAGTATACATTTTATTTTCATTGTTTCTATTTTCTAAGACAAGAACTCTTTGATACCATTATCTGAAGATAATTCTAACTTGAATTGATTATATAACAAACGAATAGTGTTCGTGTAAAGCAGTCTTATTTCTTAATAAAATAAATATGATTATTTAAAATTTATTAGCATACAGATTTGCTACTTTATTTAGTACTGGAGATATAATCTCATCTTATTTCAACATAGCATATTATATTCATTCTGGTTCATATAATAAACATGTATATGTATTGTTGCTTAGATAGTGGTCAAAACATTCAAGATATAATTCACAAACATGTGGTTTTATAAGTGGTATAAAGAACAACTATTGGAAGTATTTTAGATCTAAATGTCGTGATAACTATGAAGTGAATATTGATGACTAAGATATAGGTTGAAAAAACATCTGATTATTATCAACGTCTGAATCACATCATTTAAATATTACTTATATTTAGTTTAACATTTAAGATGATTCTAGACTTATCTCATTATAACAATAGAAGCAATTATATGATGAGCGGCCACATAATTTTACATATTATTATTTATTTTATGTCTTTCTCGAATATTCTACATGAATATAAAAAGAAAAACATATATTATCGTTTTTTTTCGAATCTATAAAACGCGAACAATTTATTACACATGACATGTCACAATTTTCTTCCAACAAAATTCATTTTATTTCGATCATAATGAAAAAAAAAATATCTTTATGATGTCTCAATCAAGTGTTGAATTATTTCTAAAAACAATAAAAAGTAAATCTACGATTCCATTTGCTCACATGAAACAAATAATCCGAACTACTCAAAAATAGCTAAAAATGTATGGGCGTTTTCACCTTTCTTCGTTTTATTTTTTCCAATACATAAAATCTGAAAATAATTATTTTATTTTTATCTGACCAGAAGTTTCTTTTTGATTCGGTATATTACGAAAAAAAAAACATTCTATTCTCTTTATTCATGATTAATAATTGAGATAAGAGGCAAAAAAGTGTCATCAAATTTTGATGTGTATTTGTCCATCTATCCATCAATGTAAAGAAAAAAGGAAAAAGAAAAATACATGTCATATAGGATTGTAGTCTATACATATTTGTTTTTTTTTGTATGCGCATTGTATGATGAAAACCGCTTGGTTGACGAAGCGTTACCTCAAATTATAGAATAAAGAAAAGTAAAAAAAAAATATTTTGTAGCAAAATCATTGGTTCTGACTAACAATTTAAACACTGTCAAACAAGTGAAACATATTATTTTAGACATCGACAGATAAAATAGATAACAAATCTATTTTTTTATATTTTAATATAATATTTTCAATCGTTTTCATATTCACAACACATATAATCAAAATTGTCTGTGTTATTTAATATTTATTATGATTAAGCAGAAGTCAACATCATCTATGAGTAGTGTTATTAATAAAGAGAAAAGTAAACGTAGCTCAAAGTCTTCAAAAGGTACCAATAAACATCAACACACTAGTATTCCTGTGGTGGAAAATGTGCGTCTTGTCTGGTTGGATCAAAATATTGATGAAAACCAAAACGATTTTTGTCGCAGTGCTATTACAGAATTTCGGCATGTAATTAACAGTATCAAAACATTTACCGAATATGATGAATGTCTTAATTTTCTGAAGAAAATTGAAAATGAAAAAGTTTGTGTAATTGTTTCCGGTCCATTATGTCAACGGCTTGTTCCAGAAATTCATGATCGATTACATATAGATTCTATATATATCTATTGTGACGACAGAAAACCGTATAAAAAATGGGCGCAAGATTGGAAAAAAATTAAAGGAATTTTTAGTAATACAGTACCAATTTGTGAATATCTTAAACAATCAGTACAAAAATGTGAACATAATGCAATTAGTATGAATTATATGCCGACAAATAATACTAAAGTTTCAGAGAATACGATGGAACAAATGATTTATTCTTTTATATGTCCTCATGTTCTAAAAGAAATTTTATCTACTATACAATTTGATGAACAACATTTTACAAAATTTATTAAATATTGTGAAGAAATATATCATGAAAATGAACAAGAATTAAATAATATTAAACGATTTAAACAAACATATCGTGAAAAAACACCAATTTGGTGGTATACAGATAATTGCTTTTTAAAATCAATGGTTAATCGTGCTCTAAAAACAATAGATATGAAAATGATCATCAAGATGGATTTTTTTATTAGTGATCTTCATCGTCAAATTGAACAATTATATGTAGAACAATTTCGGAATCATTCTGGAGAATTAATGAAAGTTTATCGTGGTCAAGGCGTGTGTAAGACCGATTTTGAACAAATAAAGAATACGCAAAATGGTTTTATTTCATTTAATAATTTTCTATTTGCTACGAAAGATTCAAATATAGCTCTTAATTTTGCTCGTCATGTTGTGGAAACGCCTGATCAGATTGGAATTTTATTTGCTATAACATTTGATCCTTTGAAATTAACAACACCATTTGCTTTAATTAATAAAATCGGTCAGGATGAACAACCAGCTAATAAATATCTCTTCTCGATGTCTTCGGTATTTCGTGTTCGTGATATTAAACCAATCGGTGAAACTAATCGTCTTTGGCAAGTACATTTAACAATGAGTCCTACTGATAATCAACAACTACATACTTTAACTGAACCTATATATGAAGAAACCTGTCCAAAATCTATAGGATGGGGACGATTCAGTATGTTTTCAATTGGAATGAATCAATTAGAAAAGGCTCAACAAGTTTATAAAGGACTGCTTGAACAAACATCAGATGATTATGCAAAATCCGGTATTTATCATCAACTTGGATGGATCAAAGATTATCAAGGAAAGTATGAAGATGCAATTTTATACTATAAAAAAACATTGGAAATCTCTCAGAAGATGAATCCTACAGATCATCTTGATTTAGCTATGTCATATAATAATATCGGTCTAGCATATTATAACATGGGTAATTATCCTGAAGCATTATCAGCTCATGAAAAAGCACTTGAAATTCGACAAAAAACTCTTTCTCCTAATCATCCTGATCTAGCTATGTCGAACAATAATATTGGTATGGCTTATATTAATATGCAAAAATATTCGAATGCAACTCCATTTTGTAAACGTGCAATAGATATTGCAAAACGTTCATTATCACCAACTAATCCATATCTTAAACAATATCAAAGCAATTTTGACTTAATAACGATGAAATCATAATTTTTATTTTATTACTTTTAAAAAAAGAAAATAAAAATTATTAAATAGAAAATAAACTATG